TCCCTAACGTTCTGTGATTCTGTGATGGTGGACTGCTTGCTTAGAGTACTGTGGTTGAGCCCCTGAGGGAAAACTCTTGTTTTCTTCCTAAAGATGTCTGACTTCTAACTTCTGATTACTGAGCTTCTCAAACTCTGGGAGGATGTCCAAATGAGAATTTTTCTTTTTAAAAAGAAAAGTAAAAGTGATTGCATGGAAATATCACCCTATTTTTGTGTTCTAAAAATAATCCAATAATATCTTGCATTTAAAACTCTATACAGGGTGAAAAGAATTGGGTGGGACTTAGTGCTTAAAATGTTAGTATTTCAGATAATCATAAGTTATTTATAATAACTAAGTTGAGCCTTTGAACAACAGTTTAGAGCTGATCCTTCTCTCTGGCTATTTCTTTCATAATACAGATAGTATCTGTAATAATATCTATACTGTTCCTAGAGGAATTATACAAAATGTTCTTTGTGTAAGTAGCCCGTCATTTTTTTTTTCTTTTAAGAGAGTGCATTTTCCCTTTAACTCCTTTCTAAAAGCTCCCCTGTAAGGCACCTGGATTTGTAGCGGATGCCAAGTCTGACCTCAATAAAATGGTATAATCATTTTGGCCCATGCCTCTTTAGACAGCAGATGATTCGGATTTGCAGCTTGACTGGGCTGCTGAATGGTGCAAATCACAAGCAAGGTTCCAAAGAGGAGGTTGCTTTCCAGGTCTTTCTGCCCCAGAGCTAATTTTTCCAGCTCCTCAGGAGTAAAAGCCCAGGTGACTCCAGTGATGAGTGCTATTTACAGACCTTGCAGCTGTGACTGCATCCTGTGTAACCTCAGAAAAAGAACAAAGTTGATAAGCTGCAGGTGTTTGCTGACAAACTCAGTCAAGTACTTACCAACCTCTATTTTTATGCTGAGAAGAACTGTAACTACACTTGCTTATTACAGAAATATTTTTGGCCATGTTGCATATGTAGCCCCAGACTGTCTGTAAAGCTGGCAGTGCAACAACATCTGGCTAGCAAAGGAGATGGCATTCAGTGTCTCACAGGCCATAGTTCACTTCTGAAGGTTGGAAACAGTTTTCAGAGCTGCCATGCATGCTGTGGGAAATAGTCTTATTTCAGGCAGTTCATTAAGTTCATGCAGACACGTTATATTAAACAAAATCACACCATCTTAAACTGGGGCTTAGAAGATAAAATGTATATTGCTGACTCTAATAAACTTGAATTTGTCCTTACAGCGTAGCAGATAAGAACATTAATTTCCAGACAATGACCTGTGGTAGTTCTTTTCTTCGACGCCTCTCTACACCATCATCGGTCACAAAACCCACATATGTATTGACTACGCAGTGGATTTGGTATTGGAAGAATGATCAAGGCCAGTGGATTGAATATGGAGAACAGGTGAGTCCACATCCTGTGCTTTGAATCACTTAGGAAAAAATGTGTGGAGCTTCTTCCCCCCATTCCTCTTTACAGTGGATTTTACAGTGTCTTGGAAGAACCACTTACTATTCATGTGTTAATCACAGGATTGGTGTTCCAGTTTCCAAGCTCATATGCGTCAATGCTCACCATGTCACCCTGTTCCTGCGTGGGTTTTCAGAGAGCAGGCTGGGACTAGAGAAGCTCATAACCCAGTTGTGGCCTAGGCCTTTACTTCCTTTGGAGCCTGAAGCGAACTAGCACTAGTTTGGTCAAGGAGTCGACTGCGTCCCTCGCATCCGGGCAGCTAAGCCCCACACAGCTGCTTGCTCAGTTCCCCACAGTGTGATGGAGAGAATCAGAAGGGTAAAAGTGAGAAAACTCATAGGTTGAGATAAAGATGGCTTAACAGGTAAAACAAAAGCCACACATGCAAGCAAAGCAGAACAAGGAATTCAATCACTGCTCCCCGTCAGCAGGCAGCTGTTCAGCCACCTCTGGGAACGCAGGGCTCCATCACACGTAGTCGTTACTTGGGAAGTCAAACACCTTCACTCTGAATGTCCACCCCTTCCTTCTTCTTCCCCCAGCTTTATACGCTGTCATATGGTATGGAGTATCCCTCTTGTCAGTTGGGGTCAGCTGTCCTGCCTGTGCCCCCTCCCAGCTTCTCATGTACCCCCAGCCTACTCGCTGGTGGGGTGGTGTGAGAAGCAGAAAAGGCCTTGACTCTGCCTAAGTGCTGCTCAGCAGTAACTAAAATAGCCCTGTGTTATCAACACTGTTTCCAGCACAAATACAGAATATAGCCTCATACCAGCTGCTATGAAGGAATTTAACTCTATGCCAGCCAAAACCACTATAGCTTGTTACGGAAATTTAAATGGGATATATGTGTGTCTGTCATTACTAATTACATATTTGTGTGGTGTATGTTACAAGTGTTTGGTAATCACACTTTATGCCACAATAGTTCTGGATGGATTCCTTTTCATCCTGCTCTTTGCCTTTTCTTTCCCTCTACCCAAACTAGCTACCCAGGGTTTAGTCTTGACTCTGTTTACTCATTCTTCTTCTCTCTCTCTTTCCCCCCCCCCTCTATTTTCCCTACAAAGGGAGAAGGGGATAGTGTGAAGTCGCCATCTTCAGAAGTTCTTGAGAATTTGTACCTAGCAGATCCAGATGCCACCATATCTTTCCAGGCTGGCTTGAAAAGTTACCAGCTCAGTTTTAAAGGTACTCATTTTAAAGGTTCTTATTTACAACTGTGCAGTGCTTTACAAAGACTAATTTGCAAACTATCCCAGCTTTTGGAAATTATGACTTCTTTTACTAACTCTACCAGATTTACTCATTGGAAGGGGAAGTGAGGTAGTGGTGTCCCAGAGGAAATTCCTTACAAATGTAACCTTCTTCCTTATTCCTTGACACTATCCAGACTCACATTGGACCAGAAATAAAAAGAATTGTTGTCTTCACATAAAGTCATAGTAAACCTTAAGGAAAGCGAGTTAACCATGTAGGTGGTAAAAATGAAAAAGCAAGCACCTTTCTGTGTTGCTGGAGCAACATTTAAAGAGCATGAATGACTTAAGGGAGCAGCAAGACAGACATAGGTTAAATAACAAAGTTATCAGGAAGGACAAGAAGCTTGCACAGGCTTTATGCAACCATTCTTCAGCTTTCATAGAACTGACAATGAATATGCACTTTTAATTAAAGAATGACTGTCATTAATTAATGTCTCCGTCTTGTAGACCTATTCATGACTTTTTCATTTTTCTTCTCTTTTCTCCTCAAGAAATGATCCAGACAAACCTCGCTTTTAAGACTCGAAGACCGGTCTGCAGGCGACCAAAGTTTGTGTCATCTGAAGATGTGTATAAGATAAAGACAAGGTAAATGATGCTCTTTTAAGTTGTTTTTTCATATTTCAGAAGTAATTATAAGGCGAAATGGCTGCCAGTGCTGGTAGTAATTGTGCAAAGAACGCAACTGTTGCTAGAAGAAAACATATCCATTTGAGTCAACAGAACCTGTGTCACAAACTGGTGCATCACCTGGTTTCTGGGGTACATGTTATTCCAGGTACCACATCCACAGGACTGGCAATGGACAGTTGTTTCTTAAAGAAGCAAATGAAAGAGGACTGTGACACTTGAAAGGCAGCACACAAAGCCTAGCTCACAGACTGAGACAATTTCTTTGTGGTTTATTTTTAAATGTAGGAATTGGCCAAAGGGGATGCTGCCAATTTGCATGTTCAGACCATTACTAGAATTACTAACACCTCGTTTTATGTCTGTTTGCAAACAGCCAGAGAGATTCTTCTATTCCAAAACAAGCCTGTCCTACCCACTGGGATCCATCTGCACTGCCTGACTTGGGATACAAGGTAACTTTTTTAATTTTCTTTTTTTTTTTTTCCTTTCCTCTTGTAATTCTGATGGAAAGGCACAATTCAAAGGAGGATTAAAAAAATTACTTAAAAATGAAAGTAAAAACTGAAGTAATTGTAACTGGGTAGATGCTAAAAACAGACAGTAGTGTGTGGGTGTGCTAAAGATCTAGGTGATCTCCCATGAGCTGCTGTAAAAGGTGCCAAATTCTCATGATCTTCATCTGCATTTTAGACATCATTCTACATGCAAAAACCAAACTCACCAAATTCAATACAAAAACACTCACTGTTAAAAATGTACTAATGACTTACCTTGGTCACTTGGTGGACCAGCTGAGCTAAGGGCTTCTATAAAGTGTGTATTTCTTTACTGAAAGCTGGGCTGAGACCAAGCCCTTTCTGTGTAGGCCATTAAAAAGCCATCCAATAACAATACCACGTTGGCTGTTGGTGGATGAGGTCTGGACTGGAGACCGAGGAGAGGAAATCTGCATATGCTCTTTCAGGTTGCCCAGTACTGTCACATACATCAAAGATCTAAGCATAGACCACAGCCTCAAGAAACAACAGAAGTAGTTACAGCCAACAATGTTTAAAAACATTTGCAGTGATCTCTTCAACAAAACAAACCAAACCCCTGCCAGCCCAAAGTCTATGTTCCTATTTGGTCTATCAAGACCAAAAACGTGCAGATATTTTTTAAATACTACTACTAGTAGTAGTAGTATTACTACTACTAATGTTATTACTACTTCTAATTACTACTTCTAATGTTATTGCAAAGCAGTCCTTCTGGAAGAGCAACACAAGGTGTGGAAGTAGTACTAGGAAAAAAAGGCTTTTCAGTGTTCAACTTGTCCTTTTTGTAGTGGTTTTGACCTAGATTAAGAAACTGCAGATAATGTGGAGCATAGGAGATTTTCCTTGTTGACTGTGTCACAAAACCTTGTACAATGCTGATCATATTGTATTGGTATAGATACCTTGATGGCTAGGGACAAGACAGATGTAATGTATTTCCAAAATTCTTTCTGGCTACTTTTGGTTGAAAGAGAGCTCCATTGCTATTCTTACTCTTAGTATTTCATTTTCCTTACTGTAGTTACATTGGCAGTGGCATAAAGGTGAGAAATATCATGTATCTCTGCTTCTGTGAGCTCATTTCTATTATTCTGCTTTGTCCTGAATGTTTCATTTTACCCTGACTACCCTCTTGAGTTGGATTATGCCTTCCTCAATGTAATGCCCATATCTGGCCATGTGTGCATATAGCAAATTCATCTAAATATAGTTCTGATGAAAAATCAATGGGTAAAATTTAGTTCAACTGCGCTGCACATTAGCTCCCTTCAAATAGCTGGTTTTGACAGTTAGCAAAAGCCCCCTAATTTTTCAAGACTGTAAAAGTGTCACGTCTCCAGCACCTGCTGAAATGAACTAATAATGAGTGTGTATGGGAATGCGGCAGCCAGACTGTTTGAAGATTTGGGCCTGTGATATTTTGAGCTCCATCAAAATAATAAAGGGTCACTAAAAGCTAATATATAAAAGCCAATCAGATTTTTCCTTGACTTATCAGTAGCTTAATTGATTAACATAAACTTGAGTTTTTAAAAAGAATGTGAGGAAGACATGTAGCTCAGTTTCTTTTAGGTCTCCGAGTTGTATGTACTTCACTACTTCCCTTATTTGCTCTGAAAATTTCCATCTGAATTTTAGTTGAGTCCATTTGTTGGGACGTTTCTGGAGTTGCTGAGGTGAGTGTGAGAGGCTTTGGAAAGTGGTGTGCAGATCCATGGTGCAGCTAGTGGTACTTGTGGGGATGCATGAAGTACAAGTATCGTCTTGCTTCCCAGAGCTCAGTTTGCTTGCTGAGTTGGCGCCTAAGAAAACCATCTCTTAACTTGTAAACTGAGTGCCTTTCCTAGAAAAGGAGAAGTTAATTCTTTACCTAACAAGTGACAAAGCCCACAGGACCTCTCGGTGCTAAATGGGAAAGCCTGGGCTAGATTAAATATTTCTGTGGGAACCTAAGCTTGTTTTTTTGCAGTAGGTAATATTGGGACTGGCTGGGATTCTGCATGCATGTGGTGACCATCGTAACACCTGACAATTGCGACTTGATGAATTCCCTTCTCTTCAGACATTGGCAAATAATCCTGGCAAAACTCGCTGCGCTGGAAATGACCCATTTTAAAAAGGAACACCTATATGAGATAGGGTGAAAGTCATCTTTGCTTAAAAAGAGCATCTTTGTTTTGGTAACATTGCTTGGTTTTTTGAGTGTTCCGGTGTCTTAATCTGTAAGTCATTTAGAACCATAGTTTTATAGAAAGCAGTGTTTGAAATGCACAATGGAAATAAGTAACACCAATTGGAAAGTTGGTGTGAATTTCTTCTGTCTTTTTTAACAGATGAATTGGAATTAGTAGCTGGTAAACTTTTTAAAGGTAGAAAGAGATAAATTGATATTGTCTTGGAACTTCATGCTGTGCTTTAAATTGTATCTTTAATGTACAACTGAGACGTGTGTGCAACGAATGTGTGGTTTTATGCCAGAGGATCAGTCTTTGTGTGGCTGCTGTGTTGCTGAATCCTGACATGTGATCGTGATCCTGCCAAACATCGCTGCGCTGTAACAGGAATGGGAGCTGATGCAACAGGAAGAGTCTGCGTGTGTACTTCATAGACGCTGGTTCTAGCCGGGTCACTGTCACTAACACAAACTGTGCTGCTTCCAAAACCTACGTTAACCAGAGATCAAGGTTTGGTATTGCAGAGTGCTGTCCTTGTACAGTCATACACTAACAGAAATTGCTGTCAGGGCAGTGATTCTTTCTCTGCCTCAGAAACTCCACTCCCTGCTGGTGGGTTAGCAAATGCTTATCCTCTCTAGGATTTTCCTTCTTAGGTCTGAAGATGAAAGGAGCTAAAGAAGTTACATTGCTATGAGGTATCAACCTGCAATAACAGTGTGGTGTCACCCTGTATTAGCAGGGGAAGCATCTTCGGGGGGAAATAAGAACAATCCTACAAAGTTTTTATGCAAAAGAGAACTGGTTTTGTTGCTTAGAGGCTCTTATATGATAAAAAAAAATTGAAGTACCTTTCTTACAGGAGTACACCTTGTACCATGTGGCTGACCCTCTGTTTTACCCACAAATGTTACTATTCCTCAGTAAAAGATGCATCATAGCAAAAGCTTATTTGTAGTCTAAGTAAGAATTGTTTACATGTAAATAAAAGATGTAGTACCGAAATAGAGTGACATAATTTTCATCTTGTAGGTCATGCCGAACAACTTGAACTGCGGTGTCACGGAGTATGCAGATAATAAATACCCATCTGAATTGTTTTATGTGTCGTAAAGGCTTTGCAAAATATTTGTGTATTAAGACATGGGAAATTTTATTAAACCTTGTAAAAGCTTTTTAATAAATTCAGATAAGTAATTCTTTCTTGTGCAGCTGACTTTATTCTAATCCTTAGAAGACTTTCCTATGATAGGCCTCTTCTTCACCAAGTTCTTAATGTACAAGCTGGACATGGTGTCCAGAAAAAAGCTGCTTCATTTATATACAGCTGTGAAATCTAAGTCCTATTTTATCTCCCCTCTAAACTTGGCTTTCTAAAGTGTGGAGCTTTTGCCTGACAGGTTGAGATACTAATTTCATATTTTCTCTTAGGGTGAGCTCAGCTTTCCTGCTTAAAACACAACTTTAATACATAGGATGTTGGGCATTTCACTTTAAGTCATCTTGAGTCTTCACTTAGGCAGTGGTAAAGTGGAAAGTATTACCAGGTGACATTAGTCTGCCAGCACTATGCCTTTTCAGTTGACTTTACAGAAGAGAAGTGTTTGTTCTAGAAGATTAGAGGATTTATTTACTGTGAGGGTGGTGAGACACTGGCACAAGTTACCCAAGGAAGCTGTGGATGCCCCCTCTCTGCAAGTGTTCAAGGCCAGGTTGGACAGGGCTTTGGGCAGCCTGGGCTGGTGGGAGGTGTCCCTGCCCATGGCAGGGGGTTGGACTGGATGAGCTTTTAAGGTCCCTTCCAACCTGAACCATTCTGTGATTCTATGATTAAAGACACAGCTCACTTTGGAGAAAAAGTTGGAAAATTTACGCATGACATAAGCAAGCAGAAGAGCTTGAATCATATTTTAATTATGTTTTGCCTTAAATTTACTTTGGGAAAAATGTGCATTTCTGGATGGATTTTTTTAAACATGAAAAGTGTGGATAAATAAACTTTTTGTTTCCTTTAGGACAGGAGATGTATTTGCTTAAGCAGGTACTTAGTGTAGCATTCCTATTAGAATCTTAATTGTTCTCTCATGCTTAGAAACAGCTTTTGTTTTCCTTAAGTCTATATTTAAGTGCAACTTTCCAAGTTTTAACTTTGAAAAGTTAGAGCTATGATGCTGGAGAGTGTATGTATTTTGTTACTGTCATCTTCAGCTGAAGCTCCCTTAAATGTCTGGTTACAAATGATACTGTTATCATGTCTTTTGTTCTTAATCAGCTTTATATATCAAATGAAAGTTATCTGGAACAATCAGTCAGGTTTTCTTTTTGAAATTAGTCTTTCACTGAGATTTAAAGTTACAGGTGTCAACTCCTACTTGGAGATGATAAACATTTAATTTATCCTTTTGGTTTCAGCATCCTTCCTGAAGAGAGGTGAGGTGTCCTTGCAAAGCAGGAGTGGCATACTGACTTACATATTAAGTGTCTGTCCTAATTATTCATATGGTCACAATCTAAAGCATTAAATTAATCTTCATAAAGTATCGTTTGGGAACCCTTCTGAAAGTGTATCTCCTGTACTTAGGCTTCTGTGTGTTACAAGCTAAGCAAAGCCTCATGTCTTTTTTTGCTTTGGTTTTATGTCTTATAGGCAGTGGAGATCAGTAACACAACCTCTGAATACGACAGAATAAAGCAGTTGTTTCTTCAGACTATGAAAAGCTACAGTGTCCTTAAGATACAAAGGATTCAGAATCCATCCCTCTGGAAAGTGTTTCAGTGGTTAGTATTTTCCTTATCCTTAAGGAGAGGGAGTCTCCAAGAGCTGATGTCCTGTGTCTACTTCCTACGAAAGGAAAGATGTTACCACCTGGGCTTTAGCGTGACTGCTATTTCCTTCTTAGGGGCAGTTTCAGGAGTGAAATTAAGTGCCTAAGACCTTCCAGAGAATGCCATGCTTCTGGTGGAGGTTCCCTCTGCATGGCTCCTTGGAAGATGAGGGCGGTGGGTGGACAGAAAGACATAGATGATGCAAAATTAGGATGAGGATACCCACGGTGACGTGGAATAGAGTATTGTCACAGGGGTTGAACATTTAACTTCCTGCTGCACGTGCGTTCTGACTGCTACATATGTTTATCCATTAGAGTATATGAAATACTTCCTGAAAAAGAAGTGGGCAAATGCAGTCAGATTTAAGGCTTCTTCAAGAGTTTGCAAACCTTTGCTGAATGCAGTCGGTATTCACTGAGAGAGAATTTTTGAGCTTTCACTTAATGACCTCTGAATTCCAGAGCTCCTTTCTGGTTTTCAGCATCTGCATCAGTGATGTTGAACTGTAGGTACTTATGCCAAGCTCAATACCAGCAGATGTGAGCTGGTGCTAGTGGCAATAAACGACCACGTCCAGGTTAATTTGGTAGCAGATTAAGCTGTTGCAAAGAACAGTTGTCTAGTTTAAAACAAAAGCCCAGATACTTAGTGGAAGTATTCAAGGAGTTATATGGAATTGTAATGAAGAAAAACACTGCTCAAGTAAGTGCTTTCACCTGCAAAGTGACTGAACGCGGAAAGTTGTCAGCTAATAATTTCATAAAACCTTGTTATCTGGCAAAACTTAAGACACTTCAAAACATGTAATAGTGCATTATTTTTATCCTCCCCCAATGAGATAATGAAGCTAACCAGGCAGAGTTTAACATTGCCAGGTTCTCAATGAATAAATTTCACTGCTCTTAACTTTTCATTTATGCAGTTTACAAGTTGGAAGGATTCTCCCCTCTCCCTGGCTCTGTTTACTTGGTAGCACATTACTTCCTGACGAATATTAGTGTCTAGTCTGCTTCAGCGGCTTCAGCAAACCTGTGGGATGTCTGGATGCTGTGAAATAGTGGTGGGAGGTACTAGCTGAGCCTTCCATTGGGATTCCTCTTTTGGTACTGGTCATAGCTCAGTCTGATTTGGGCCTAAATCAGAAAGGTCTTCAGCGGTGAAAGAAGGCTCAGCTTCTCTCCTTGTGGTTCTGTCTCCTTAGCTGCACTGATCTCAGCGAGGGGCAGGGGCTCGGGGTGCCTGGCAGTTTGGGCTCACGAGGGGAATGAAGATCAAGCTGACTGGCTCTTACCCACTGCTGGAGCATGGAGGCTCTGCATGGTATCATGGAGCATGGCACAGCCTCCACTCTGCAGAGAGTTTGGAGGTGGGAAGGGACACAAGACATTAAAGCAGAATTAGGAGGACCCTACAGAGGAGCAAAAGATTGGTACAGTGGGGACTGTAATAGTGCCAATGCTTACTTAAATTCACTGGAGAAAGCCAGAACTATCTAGAATTGCTGGGCAATGGTATATCACTTGTGTATCATCTTGTAATTGTTCATCATGCTGCTAGTCTGTCTTATCCTCCAGGCTGGGAGAGGAGAAAGCAGACTGGAAATCTCATCCGATATTTACATGTACATTGTATACTTTTAAAAAAAAAAAATGACCTTTTCTCTCTTTTCTTCCATGGCTCCTGCTCTCTTCCCCTGCATGTTTCTGTTAGGCAAAAGGAGCAGATGAAAAGAGAAAATGGAGGGAAGGAAGTAAATGAGAAGCTCCTGTTTCACGGAACCAAGATCTCCTTTAAGGAAAGAATCTGCGCTCACAACTTTGACTGGAGAATCTGTGGAAGCAATGGAACTAACTATGGCCAGGGTACGTAGGAAGTGACGCTGTGACGTCTACTTAGGCTCCCTTGATACTTCAGCAATCAAAGTTTTGAGCTCTTTAACTGTAGAGGGTGAAAAAAGGTGGTAGGAATTGGTATTATGATCTTCCCTCTGAAGAGTGCAAGTATTTGCTTTGTGCAGGGGTTAAGTCTTTTTCACGAGGTGTTAAGAGAGTTGGTGTTGGGATTTGAAAAAGCTGCTATTGCTGTAGGTGGGGTCTTCTGAAGGCTCCAGATCATAATTTGAACTTGCTGGAGAAATGGTCACTAGTCTTCATGGCAGGGAGCAGGAAGGGACTATGTGTTTTCTTGTCTGTTCCTCTCATCATAACACGCCTACCTGTAGTGTTTTTATATGTTTTAGTCTTTTAAAAATGATTCCTAATATAGCAAATTCTGAATGGAAATTCTGTGGTGAAGCCCTTTCTCTTGTAAAAATTTCTATGCAATTATGTCAGCTAAGAGGAGACCTGAAAGTTAGGTCAAGTGCCTCCTAAAAAAGAAGGCGGTGCTCGGTTTTCACTATCACTTTATATGTATTCCTTATAACCATGTTTTCATATTGTTTTCCAGGAAGTTACTTTGCCAGAGACGCTTCCTATGCCCACACATACAGTCAGCAGTTGAAAATGAGCACCATGTTCGTGGCTCGTGTGTTGGTTGGAGAGTACATTAAAGGCAACGCAGCCTATGTTCGCCCCCCACCAAAGACTGCTGACTGGCTTCGGTTTTATGACAGCTGTGTGGACGATGAACTCGACCCCTCCATTTTTGTGCTCTTTGAAAAAAACCAGGTTTACCCAGAGTACATAATAGAGTATAAGGGGGAAGAAAAAAGATGTGTTATATCCTAGAGGGATCAGAGCTCTTTGGATCACTCATTTTCTGTGTTGAAGGTGTTCTCATACTTGGTGATTTCTTTCTTTTTAATACAATCCTTAGGAAGGTTAATCCAAAGAATTTCTATATTGAGGAAGGCTGGCAAAACAGATGTTGGATTTGTTGAAACTAATTGCCTTGTCTTCTCCTCTTCCTCTAAAATGAAGCATAGACATTTGGATAACCATAGCTGAAATATCAGACTCATGGGATGGGAAATTGAACATTGTAACTTCTATGGTCAAATAATTGTAATGCATTTCTTAGAAATACAGTAGAGAGGATTTCT